ATTGATAAAAGTAAAAACATGTTCTGAAAAGCACAGGAAATTCTAACCGATACAGTCGTACATTGTACTACTTAACATTTTTGAAAGTAAAATTGCTGTGATTATTTATCAGTTTTCTTGATCGAGTTATCGCATTACATAAAAAAAGAAACTTCAGAACAGTAAAATATTTTAAGAGTTCCTTGAACATGTTCAAAGTTTTAAGCAATTTATTTACACCAATAAAATGACTGATTGAATCGATACGATGTTATGTCTGACTTATAGTGCTAAAATTATTCTAGAGCCGTGACTCTATAGAAAAGACATATCTAAATATATTTTTTTAAAATAATACAATGTATTTTATTGCAACTACCAATTAACCCTTATATGGAAGTGTGAAAACAATTATTTGTCTTTGTTCCGTCATGCGTAAAGTCCGGCGAGGGTCTAGGAGATTGATAATTAAAGTGAAGCCCTGTTCAAGTGCTCTAACTTTTATAATTGAAATACGATATAATTGTTTGATTAAAGTCTCAGTTAGAGAGAATTTGTGTGTTTAGATTTTCTAATAATCCCAGATCTTACTGTGTCGGCAAAATTACTGTTTTGCATGCATAAAATTGAATCGTTACTGTGTCGGGAGCAACACAGTAAAACAGCTCATGGAGAACCCTCCAAACTCCAAACACACTCCAAACACAATCCTTTTTCTTTTGCTTGTGCCTAAAATAAAACGAAATCAAAATATTAAAAACAATGCAATAAAATGCTTTCTTCCATATAAAGAACCATTAAAATCATCATCTGGATAAACAAAATGTGATTGTGAAACACTGATGCCCCCGTACGGCAACATAGCGAAGGTAAAGCTTTCTCAAATGTATTTCTCAAATACGTTGGTACCTGAAGTAAGACCTTTTCACAAGAATTACAAATGTGAAATATAAAACCCTAACACGATCTGCTCAAAGGTTATGACCAAGTTTAACGATTGTAAAAGTAAGACAAACCCAGGGGTCAAGGTCAAAGGGTCAAGGTTTCTAAACAAAGGCCTTGTCTCAAAGATTACAAATGGGAAGTATGAAAGCGCTGGTCCTAACCGTTCAAAAGTTATGACCAAGGTTAAAGTTTGTATTAAAAAAAAATTGAAAATCCAAGGTCAAAGGATCAAAGTTGTTGATATCCAATGAAAGTTCTTCTCACAAGGATTACATATGAAAGCTCTAGTTCTTACTTTTCAAAAGATATTGTTATGCTTAAAGTTTCACTTTGTAAAAAGTAGGTCAAAGTCTAAGGTCAAAGTGTAAAGGATCTTGATATCAAATAAAAGGTCTTGTCACAAGGATTAAAAATGTGAAGTATATAAGCCCTGGTCCTAACACTTGGAAAATTAGGGCCAAGATTGTATTTAAAAAGTACGTCAAATTCCACGGTTAAGGTCAAAGGGTCAAACTTCTTGGGATCCAATAAAACGTCTTTTCACAAGATTAACATATTTGAAGTATAAAAGCCTTAGTCCTTAACGTTCAAAAGTTATGGCCAAGGTTAAAGTTTTTTCATTAGTATGAATATCTCCAAGGTCAAGGTCAACAGCTCAAAGTTGTAAACACTAAATGCAAGGTCTTGCAACGAAGAATATATATATGAAGTATAAAAGTCCTGGTTTTTACTGTTCAAGGGATATAGCCGACGTAAAAGTTTGGAATTTTTGTGTAAAAGTGGGTCAAACTCCAAGGTCAAGGTTGAAAGTTCAAATCTGGTAGTACCAAAAGAAAGGTCTTGTCTATAGGAATACACATGTGAAATACAAAAGTAATAGTTCCACTTAATCAAAAGTTAATGGGCAAGATAAAAGTTTTTGCGGACAAACAGACAGACACAGAGAAAGACAGACACACAGACGGACGGACGGACACGACAAAAACAAAAACTTCGTTTACGGGGGTATAAAAAAAATCAGAAAATTGTTCATGAAGAAATTTCTACCGTACGTCCCAACACCCGCTATATATACATGTATGTATAAATTTTCTAATTAAGTTTTAGGCATATTCTGGTCATTTTAAGGTCTATGATCTTCAATTTTTGCCAAATGATGCATATTAAGTCCTTAAAAGTACCCGGTATATTTAGTCTTGTCAATTGATGCATCTGAACACGTCATATCATGTTGACTCGAAAGTTTCACAGTGATTCATTTTCAATTTGGCACAAATTTGTCTACATATTGTTTGAGAAACAATATTTTCGACGCTTTCAAATTTCTGATCATCAAACTTTTTCAGTTGATGCAAACATATCAACAAAGTAGGTTATCGTGGCCTTCTTTCAAAATTTTATGGCCTTTTCAAAATATTTCATGTATTTCTTTGCTTAGAATCATCTGAGTTGATGCATTTTGGGTTATGGAGAACTATATCCTGTGTCCTCAGTACTTAGTACTTAGTAACATGATTTACTTTTGTAATTAGTTATGGTTGAAGTTTAATGGCTTTATTAATATATTTTTAAGATATATATTAATAAATTATATTATATGTTCCATATGAGCTTGAATCATTTGTGTCAATTAATGCATCGTGCATTTTTGTTACCTTCTATAAAGTTTTATGGTTATGTTAAACGAGTTTGGCTCATGGTATTTTAAGTCTTCAATTTTTTTGTCAAGTATATTTTTACTTTCTACACACATAGCTTAATTAGAAATTAACTCAAAATATGGGGGTCAATGTGCTTCTTTTAACGCTACAGAACATTAGATATGACCTTTTTGCACTGAAATCTGTCTCTTAATCAAAAATGACATCTTCAACGTTTTCCCTCCAATATTTTTATCTCAATAAAGCATGGAACAAAATAAGATATAAGTCTGCTTAAAAAACTCTTTTAAAATGGGACTAAGAAAAAACAATCATTTGACATTTCTGCACTTATAAAATGTTATTTTCTAGGCATTGAAAATTTAATAAGGAAGATTTTGCTAAAGATTATATCAATGGATTTAACATCCCTTTAATATTTTTTCGTCTATATCAGAAAGCACAGGATGAAATTGAAAAAAGAAAAAAACGAAAATAGCAGCTTTTTAAAAGTATACGGAAACCCGATTTGATAGATATCTTTATCTATAGAAGAGAAATCAAAATAAGGAGGAATTCACTCAGAAATAAAAGAGCACCAAGCACCATTTTAAAGGTGAAAACATAAATCTAAGTTTGAAAAAAAGGATAAAAAAAAAATTGAAAATAGAAGTGGTTTAAACCAGAACACTTATTTTGAAATTCAATATGGAAACCATCATGTCTTTGCAATGTGCATCTCATCATCGATGTTTATTGCCTGAAGCTACCGAGAGGCAGGCGGAGAAAAAATTGTTGTTTTTTCGTATAGAAGAAAAACTTTATTCAGTAGTTTGTATCTATAAAAAATGAAATTTCATTTGAAAGGAGACTACGAATAAAAGATCTCCAAATAAATATTACAAATAATATGCAATTATTGCAGGGTTTTTTTTTTTTAGATTAATACGATGATTTAGCCACATAAGGAGTACAATATTCACCGAGCCCGAAGGGCGAGGAAAATATCGTACAGGGTGAAAGAACTATCAGCACTCGTAAAAATATTATGGAATATTAAAATTTACTTTAGTTCTGTAAATTTTTTTTTATCAAACTCTTTTATTGAGTCGACTTTGAAAAATGGGGTCATTTATAAGGGGAGAAATACAGCTAAAAATATATTTGAGTATCACCCATCCCAACCCCCCGACACACAAATCCCCACCCCAAATTTTACTTTCCCTTATGTCGTATGTTCACAGACACATATAGAAAAAGTAAAATCAAAATATTGTCTTTCTTGAAGACCGAAGATCTAAATAAACTATGAAAATCACATGACAAAAACGTACTATCCAATCAAAATGGTAGCCGGAAGACAGACAATCTATAAAAAGTTTATTTTTCTGTGTTGGGAATTAAGCCTCGTTATTTTGTCATTAACCGATCTCAAGTTGGAGTGATAGAGGTAAAGTCACGTTTGTTTTAAAAATTTAACTTGATAATATTAATAATCATATTCTTTTTTCCTTACTTTTTATAATTTTTATATTTTATTATTTTTTTTTTTAATATAATAAACGACTCAATTATTAGTGGAGCATTGTATTCTTGTTATGTAAAATTTATATTTTCAGCAAAAAGTATTAACTTATCCGTTATTTCTCTCATAGAACATTTAAAAAAGATGAATTTTATATCTTGTGCTTGCTTTTACAGATCTTGAATTGAAATAATATAAAATATTCTCGGGCTAAAAAAAAGGTGTCAGACGAGAAAAATAAGACAACAGACAAACGAATAGATATGAACTCTGCATATTATATATGTCATTCAAATTTAACTTCTTTTATCAGAGAAATAATGTATTTAGATATTATTATGAAACTACACAATTTGGAGAAAAATTCTAACAGCTACTTTTTTTTTTACCAAACATGAAATTCAAAACACAGTCCCGAAGTAGAAAGTAAATCCTTACGTCGTGGGTTCGAATCCCACTATGGGACGTGGAGATTGGTCCTTTGGATGAGACATTATAAACCAAGGCCCCGTGTCGCAATACATGTAGGTGCTAGCACGAAAAATATTTTTCCTTGCTTCATGGCCTGAGTGCCGGGTATAGGACAGAATTTGCAGCTTTTCACCGACAAATGGTGGGGTCTCCATGTGAGTGAAAAATTCTCGAGAAGGACGTTAAACAATATACAATCAATCAATCCTTTCTGTGAATGTGTAGGCTAGTGTGAAGTCAACAATTTAATCCGAGGTGGAAAGTGTGGGTAGACAAGAAGCCTCCTCTCGATAAGTATTGGAGGGATGGGGGTTAAAGGGAGAATTTTTGCGAATTAAACCTCTACAATTTCAATTTTACTAGTGAAAATAATTTTGTAGACGTATTTATTAATATCGTGATTTGAAGATCATTTAACAGAACTGGGAACTCAAAACTTATCATTTTACCCTCCTTAGAAAATATTGAAACTTCCTTACTGAAAAATCAAAATTCTATCAATACATTATATTTTCTACTAATCAGATATAATTCAAGTTATCAATTTTGTTCCCTGTACTTATAATGGACCCCTGTTGCTTTCGATGAAATTTTCTGATACAGGCTTAATATTGATAACACCTGAACTTCAACTTAAAAATTCTCGCTATGGAAAAATTTTTTTTCTCTTAAATTTAAAGCAAAACCGTGAACATAATCGGATAAGAATCAAAGTACGGAATGCTAAGAAGGCTTTTTAAATTTTTTCAAAAAATAAAAATAAATTTATTCCTCATAAAATGATCTGTAGGCTGTAGTGTTATTCGCAGTCAGTGGCATACATTCCGTATAAGTAAAAAGGCTGTAGCCTACACATCATTTTTTCAGGGACAAAAATTTAGTTAAAAAAATTAAAAAGGGGTGTAGATAATAAAGCTTGCCTATTATTATATTACTTTGTTGCAAATGCCTTAAAACATACTAAGTAATCCACACTTAAAATACCTATCCAATGCAAAATGTTTTCATTTGTGCTTTTTATAGCTGAAATTGAAGTGTTATATCAAGTCTTATCAGACGATTTCAAAACCATCGACAGCAACAGGATTAGTACAGGATGTGAAATTGATAACTAGAAATATTTTTGGAAGTTAAACAGGTATTGTTTTGATCATATTTCTATTATTCAGAAAAGAGATTTTCACAGAATCAAGAAGACAATATCACTAAGTGATGGTATCAGTGAGATTACATTTGACCGTTTTATAAAAGAGACAAGGTCGGTCAAGGTCATAACTTATTCCCTAGACATTACGAATAAATAATTACTAATGCTAATCATGCGACCCCTACTTCCATTTCAAAAGATTGAATGCTTTTCTTTTTGTATAAAGAGATACTATCATTAAGGTTCTATTAGATGATATTACCAAAGTGACATATTAAATAATTTAAATAAATTGGATATTGGCTAATCCAAATTGCTGAATCTACTTTTTCTCTATTTTTCTTAAATTTTTACGATGTATTAGTTATTGTCATATGCTTCTTATATTTGAATTTTTCTTATTTTCACAAATGGTCACATTGTCCCATAAAGATACAAAATGATACGAAAACAAAAAATTCCTCGTTTACTAAGAGAGAAAAAATACTTTCTACGGATTTTTTGCTCAAAGAACGAGTGCACTTATGGGCCCCGGTAAAATGTGATACAAATTCAAATAAAGCAACGTTTTCCCATCTAAATTCAATAATTGATATCTAAACCAACCATTCAACAATTTATTCCGAAGAAATTCACGAAAATATAAAGAACAAAACCATACAATGTAGTAGGGGTCAGACGACATTTGTGATTTTCTATAGTAAATCGAGAACGGTCCTTCATTTTAAAGCTTTTGTTTACTATGAGCCTAACTTTGTGCAAACTTCTGCAAATGACAAAAGACATATAATACATTTAAAAAATTCGTGTGAAATTATGAAATTTGCACACGATTAGGCTGGTGCTTAAAATATTAAAACGTTTAAAAAGAACAATGTTTTCTCATAGCAAGTAACAGGTATTTACCTGTTTGACCTATGTTGAACCCACGTGTGGAATAAATTATTTAAAATACTGATAGTCAGGTGAGTTCTACCCAGGTAAACATTCTGTATAACATAACATTGTTTTATATCATTAAGTCAAAGTCGTGCTGCTTTAGGTCGGTATACACGATGAGATTTGTAGTATAATACAAGTATTACAATACTTTTGCATTATAATTCTTTCTTGTACTTACCCTAATACATATCTTATAAGATTGTAATTAAACTACACATTCCCACGTGTTTCCCCCACATTTCTCACTCAGTCAAAATAATAAAAATGGAAGATGAGGTTCTGATAGCAGAGTCTATCAATGATGATCGTACTATGCACTGCACTAAAACTAAAAAAGAAAATGAAAAAGATATTCTGGCCAAGACCATGGATTCAGACGCAGAACATACTTGGTACACATCGAATTTTCTACCATGAGCTTCTTTTAGTAATGATATAAATGGGATGACCTAATGGAAGTACATTTGATTGGTTAAAAGTAAAATGTGGGTTAAGACCTGTATTAAGAAATAGAGCATTGCCGTATTCTAAATACATTTTTACAAGATTCGAAAAATCGTATGATACACTGTATTAACTTAAGAGAGTATACACAGAAGGATTTTGTATTGTTAATAATACAAATTTTATAATATAAATCTTACCGTGCATACAGGCCTTTAGAGATGTTTATATGTATTTTGTTTTTTAAGAATACTTGAGGTAAAAGAGAGTTAAGCGTCATTCACAAAAGTGTCAAACATTTTTAATATTCATGCAAGACGATGAAACAGAACAGGTATTGAGCGCCTAAACACTCCCTTTTACTTTCAAATTCAATGAAACTATTTTGTTTTCAAATTCAAGAGTAACAATTTCTCAGTTTGATCATTGTTGCTACAGGCAACTATATACAGCTTCATTCAATTTTATTAAAAAAAAAAATAATGAGCAAGTATTAACGTTCTGCAAACGCGACCACTTATCATCATCAGATTGTCCAAGTGTCGATTTAATTTTTTTCCCCTTGATTTACATTAATGAAAGTCAAAGAACGTTTGGTACGACTTTTCCGGATTATGGATATCCAATGGTATTTAAAAATATTCAATTGTTTCGAATACATTTAGGCGATGCTTTATGTGCTTTTGAATTAGAAATATTCATTAGTTTCTAACTATTACCAAAAGAGAACGATTTGTTTAGTGCATTTGTCCTTCGTTCTTAGACTAGAAGCTTTAAAAAGCTAACGTAAGGTTAGTTTGTTTGAAAAATCATATATATTTGATATAAATTGAGAAAATAGTCCCTTTATAAATAATTTATCTTTCATTTGAAACTTTTTTTCAAGTCTTTGATTATGTAAAAATTATAACTACCGGTAAATTCATTGTTCTATAACAACTTTGAGAGGTAAAAGAAAAGATATTTTCATACACCACCATTCGGCCCTGCTAGTTTTCAAACAAAGTTTACCAATTCTATTTAAAGTTGTACGATTGTGACGTGGAAAGAAAAATATGGTCTTTAAAATCTCATAAACTTAGATATATAAGACATATCATGAAATATACTCTGAATATTTCATGTAGTTAGAAACCAGAGAAGAATCCTACCCTAACTGAACATTTACAGAAGTATCCCAGGATGCCTGTGTCAGCTGCCGCTTACACCCTTGTCGTCTTTCTGGCCGTTAGTGTTATCGTGAAAGGTAAAACAAGCATTTTATTATTTTGGTCGTAAAATACATTGTTCGACCTTATCCATAGTGTACAATGTCAAAATATACTGAGCATCATTCAGAGGTGCAACGTAAATGATTTGATTATTAAGTAAAGACCGTATAATACTAACATATACAAATGCAGTACCGAACGCACACAACCTAACACCAGAGCGAACCGAAAGCGGACCCCGATGTTGAATTGATTTTCAATGTTTTGAATGGTGTACATGTGAAACTGACGAAAGCATTTTTAACAAAATACCTTTCAAATTCATGTGGTATATAATTTAAAATTATATTTGTTATTCCTTAAGTTTGGCTAAATCGTATTTTAATTTTTTGCCAAACACGTGAATTATGATATCGCATCTATCATGTCTATATATTAACCTTTTGTACACTGATATATTTAGACCTCATTTATAGTAGTTACTCAATATACAGTAATACTTGTTTAGTACGAACGCGAATAATGCGAATTCACGGATATAGCCAAGTTATTTCATAGATCCCAGTGACTTCGTTATAACCGAATTTTACTGTAGTTCGTAATAAATATTTACCGGACATTCATATAAAAAAAGTTGTATCAGATCTTTATCACGCTCAGAATTATGAAGCGAGTATGATTTAAATTAGAATAAAAAAAATAAAATGACAAATAATAATTGTTCTCTGGCCCGATAAGAATATAAAAATATATCCCCCCCCCCTTTTACTTCACACACACACACACACACACATTAATGAAATTTCAAATTATTTAAATAAAAAATATTTCTAAATATTTGAATTTAAACAAATACAGGAAACATCAAGGCCAGAGACAGAGAGAGAGAGAGAGAGAGAGAGAGAGAGAGATTAAAACAGTACACGTAAACTCTGATCATAAGACTAGATCTAATAATAAAGCCTGATGACTTATTAACTTAATTAATTTCTCTGAGTCGTCCTTCCAATCTTGTTCTCGAATTGTTTTCTATAAGCCTGATGCATCTTTTTTGTTTTTAAAAAATATACAGGAAGATGTAGATGTAAATGTAATTTTCATGCCCAATTAAGAAGATCAATAATTTTGATTTGAAATTTGAATAATTTAAAGGAACATGTAAATTGAGAAAAATTGAAATAAAATAATTGAATAATGGGCACGTAGATTTTTTTGTACTGTTAATAGCTTGAGATGATGAAATTTTACAATAATTGTCAATGACCAACTATTTTTCTTCTATCCCCTTTTTTCAGTAAAATTGTAAAACCAATTATTTATTTCCTATTTTACGCATTGATTGATGTATTTATCCAATTTATTTATCAATTGACTTTAAATACTGGTATAAAAAAACGAAAGAAAATAAATACTTAAATATTCATGCAGCATTCTACGCTTTCTGTTGTGTCCAGTCAGTACTGTACCTGTCAAATCCGTCACACAATGACATCCGACTATATATTTCATTCCAATTTAACTATCTTGATGGGTTTTTTTACATTCTGTAATCCGACACCTCGTCTATTCCAATGTGTTTTTATTGAAATTTTATACAAGTGCTAGAATGAAATCCTAGCAATTTATTCAAAATTAGATGTTACAAATCCGCTACCGCTTCTCAAACATCCCATTCGGGGTAACATCAGAACGACCTTTTCATTAGGAAATGGAATCGTTCTTTTCCGAACTCCATTCTGATAGTTCGGGGTATTTTACATTATCTTTTTCTAAAGTAAAAGCGGTATCGGATTTAGAAGTTCTAATTTTATTAAGATTGGAAATCCTAGGGCATGGATTTTTAAATACGTTAGACAATATTGATTACATCTTAATAACAAAATAAGACAGCGACGTTAGAAATCGGGTAAATATTTCAAAACTGTGTTTTTTGTCTTTTTTTTTTTAATAGAGATGTTTCTGAATATGAATCGGTTCCGAATCTGAAATTGAATATGAAACGAATCTGAATCGGAGGAATTCCGATCCCGATTTGAAAATAGATATCACTTAATTATACATTAATTATTATAATTTTGTCCTTAACATATCAATAAATACTTGTAACCTGTATAAAACATTATTGTATGTGTAGCCCCCTCCCCAATAAATAACAAATATCCTGCAAGAAATAAGTCTGATTTTGTTTCTATTACTACATGTATATAGATGTTACAAATTAAATGAAAAAAAAAGAGTCTATCAAGTTTGCTAGATTTATTTTTTTCTCGTTGCCAAAGGAGTGTGTTTGAAATGTCAACGGCGAGCCAGGGATTTTGCTAAGGGGCTCGAAGGGGGAGAGTATATCAATAAACTCCCATAGGCATGTTTGTGGGGTTTTAATTCTCTTCGACCAAATTTGGGTATCGCGAGATATTCTGATATAAGGGTGGTGACATGTTCGCACAAGCAAACGAGCGAGGGGTATGCGATTCCCAAAGAATGAGGGGGGGAGTAAAATTTGTTTACTTTATAGCATACAATTTAATGAGCAACATAATCGGCTTCTCATTTGAAGACATCGAAATAAATGACATGATAAAAGGTCTATAAAAACTGCGGAGACGTGGAGGAGAGCTCCCTACCCTTTCTATTAATTTTCGCACTGTAAACTTCACAATATATACATTTCCAATGTCTTTAAGTTTTCAGAGATAGAATTACAAATAGTTAATGAACTTAATTTTTACATAAATGTACTGGTTCATCAAAAGGTGCTGCATGTTTAAAAAATCACGTGCAGGGTGGGACATATAGAGACAAGAAACATCACTTGTAGCACGTGGATTGGCGGAATCAAGAATATGTAAATAAGGAATAAGATTTTTCAATTTCATGACGATGATCAGTTGATTTGCTTTCGACAAAAATTTGGACTGCGAGACATTGCATGGCCATAGGATGACGTTGTTTAAAAAATATCCGACACATAATATTTTCAATTACGACTAATCATATAAGATGCCTCTTATGAAAGCCATTTGCTCATAATAAGGTTCAGAACACAATTCTTGCGAGGAACAAATAAAGTGAGCTAATGAAAAATACTACAATGACATTTTCGAATAGGTTTTTCCATGAATTGAAAGGGTACCTGTTCTGTTATTCAGTCTATAGAATTTGACATCCGATTTATAACAATTACAATCCCAGTGACAAAAATATAAACACAATCCACTATGTATGTCCCTTATTGGTACATGTACAGTGACAATTTAAAAAGCGGAATTTAAAAATATTCTTTATCTAATGTTTTTTTCATTTTTCGAACCGGGATCGGCATCTTACCGGTTCAGATTTATTTTCAGATTCGGATTCGATTCATATTCAGAAATATCTCTAATATAAAACATGCAAAAATTGATTAAAAATATAATTTTAAGTTCATTTTTGAAAATACCAATTTGTATTTAATCATTATTAGAAGTACATTATCAAAAATATCAATTTGTACTTGGTTATTTTATTTGTAAAGATCTGGTTTTGTAATTCCAGGTCAAAGTGGTCCAAATTTTATTATCATTTATTTTAAAAACAAAGGATTGAGTGTGATTATTTATGTTCACAATGTCCATTCTTACCCAGTGATAGATGCACAGATTTGTCCATATTTCGCGAAGTGTTACTCAGACTACAGCCGGGCTTATAGATCAGCAGGACAAGACAAGGACAAAATGTGCAAGTAAGTCAAGGTTTTTAAGCATATAGAGGTATGATAATTTATCGGCACGGTCAAGTGTGTTATAGGACCGATGACATAATGCATAGGCTTCGAAAGCAAATAAAATAAAAAGTGGGGGCGGGGGGTGCGGCTTAACCAACAAAAAAGAGGAAAACACCAATTTTCAATACCTAGAAAAAGTTTATCTTTGTGAAAACAAAAATTTGGGGGGGGGGGGGGCTAATCACACCCCTCGGTTCCGACGCCTATGAAATGTATATAGTTCCTACTGCGTTTTCCAATGCGCGGTGACACGGTTTGGCGTGTATTATAGTAATTCGAACGTCGTAAATTCTAATTGATAATATAAAGAAATTTACGCTAAATGTAAATATTTAACATTGCAAAAGAAAACAGATAATCCTTGAAATATTTGTAATTTTGTGTGGTTTCGTTAGTGTTGTCGTTGCTGGTGAATTCGTTGAAAAATATCCTGTACGATTTCCGATACTGATTTGAGTTAAACGATTAACTGGAGATATAAACCTTTTTCGGCAATGTGACAGGAACAAAGACAAGAAAATATTGAAATGGCAGACATGCAGTTAAACTTTCTTAGTAATTTTGGTGACCATTTTATTCTACATAACGTCTGTATTTCGAAAGTTATAATAACTGTTTTTAGGTAATTCTTCGACCTAATCGTCTTTCCTTTTTAAAACATGTGCTGTTAGAATTGTCTGAGAGCCACTGCAAAGAAATGAGGTGATGTCAGAAAGGCCTTGTCTTAGCAGAGTATTTTACAGTATAAACAGTTTTTCTTTTGTTTGTTTCTTGTTTAACGTCCCCCTCAAGAAGTTTTTGTCATACGTAGACGCCGCAACTTGCAGGAGCTGCATATTTTGTCCTATACTCGGCACTAAGGGCCATTGAGTGATCTTTTTTGTGTCAGCATCTA